ATTGTAACTCCCCTATGCGACGCTGGACCTGTGTGAGTTATGTGGTACCCAGCTAGACGTACATTTATAATCTTTTCAATTCGTTATCAGAGGCTCCAATCATAATGTATTGAATTTCTGTATTACGTGCTTTGTAAGAAAAATTGTCTGAAAACGAAAACATATAAACAGCTTAGGAAATGATCCTATTTCATGTGTATTTGATATTCTTTTAATATGTTTATAAACGTTTTAATCAACGATTCCGACATTCAATTTACATAATATAGGGCTTTTAATCATTTCACGGATAAAATGTGCTCTTCTTCTTGGATAAATTTGCTTTTTTCGAACGAGATAAAAACTCGCACGAAGGAGATAAAAGTCGTACGAAAGAGATGTAAGATGGTATGTTCTGGAGTCATTATGATGTTCATCTGTTCCATTGAAATAGTGACGTTACCAGCAGTATTCCAAATTCAACGACCTTGAAATGTCGTTTTCTGATATATGAATGATGTAATGTCTTTAAATAACAAAACAAAATATTGACGACGTCCACCGTATATACCTAATAGAGTTGGAAATCAAGGACATATATTATTCTACATCCGTCATTTACCTAAATCTTTTCCTGAAACGAAAACAACATTGAAATCTTTCTCTATATGACAATTGTGATGATTCCGGTAACCTTGTTCTGAATTTTTCATTTTCGGGTAGAAACACCCTGCATTCTCAACCAAAGACGTTCACATGTTGCATTGATTGGATATTCAAGGACCTTTTTTCCCATTAACGCGATTTCCGTGTTAGAATTCGTCAAACAAAACGCACAAACTCGTAAAATTGGGTTTCAAAAGCAGGTTGATGAAAATTATGAGAAAGATTTACGGTTGTCATAGTGATCTCACTGTGGAATATTCTATTTCTTTGTGCTATATGAAGCTGACGTGTTTGCTGCTTGCTTGTTAGTTTGTATTGATATATATGTCAGTTGAGAACGTGACTTTACTTACTTGGATTGATCATAATTTATATGGCGGGTGTCGCAAAGGACGGTTACACTCCTTGAACACATAATCTTTTTTTTAATGAGTAATCGTGTCTTTCTTTTGTTCATATTTTGCCTAGATCTTAGAGTTTATAAATTGTACTCGTAAGCATGGTTCACTGACACTGCATTTTTTTCTGTTAAGACTTACATGCCCTCCCATATCATAGATAAGATATACATGTACATACATATTCTAAACAAGTCTTAAATGTATTCGTTGGATACTTCAAATGGTTGAAATAAGGACTCCGTAGTGATTTCATAGACTTACGAAGACACACCCATGTTTTAAACACCTGATTTCATGTACAAGTATACTGTATTTTATGTCATTTTTTCCTTGTTCAAAGCCCTATCTTGTTTGCTGCTACACATCATTAATTCTAGTTACAACAAACAATAACATGTCATAGAATTGTTGTTGAAATGGTCACTAATGCCATCAGAATTCAAATGCAGATGCATATTTCAACAACGTAGGACATGCAGGCCTTTTACATTAAAGTATGTGGTATCAATGAAAAGTTACTGACTTGGTTTGTAAATTATCTTTCTGACAGAATGCAAATAGTAAATATTGAAGGGTATTTGTCGCAGTGTAAGAATGTAAATACAGGTGTACCTCAGAGATCTGTACCGAGACTGCTTCTACATCTCCCTTATATTTATGATACCACTACTGTTTCTTCCAGCATTTCTTTTCTGCAGATTTCTCTCTGTGTACCGTAATGGGACATAAAATTTAATCCTAGCAAAATCAATCAGTTTTTTTTTTCAAGAAAACCATACTATTAATCAACTCCTATATTTTTCCAATGTAATCAAATTGCATCTACAACATCACACCACCACCTGGGACTTACAATTCAGGAAGATGCAGCTTACAATAGAGCTAATATTCTTCGTCATATCAAAATTAACGTTAACGAAACGTCATGAATTAAAGTATAAGCAGAATTTAACAGGCCAGTTTTAGAATAAACCGACATATTTCGGTTGATTGTTCACAGCAAGCTAAAGATCTTGAATCAGTACAACTAGAAGCAGCCAGGTTTTCAACAAGAATGATAACAAGGATAAATGAGAAACCATTTAGCCAGCCATTTTATCAAACTAGCTACAAAATGGACATCGGATAGTTGTGAGCTAGAGACTGCACGACATTTTTGGCATGTTGTTTGTCACCACAATTTTATCGACACTGATGACAAGATACCTTTTGGGTCTCTTGCTATACCCCGTCCTAAGGCTCTGAACTGGATAAATTTTAGAAAAAATCAAATATGACAGATTGTGAGCATGCAATTCTGATTCACATTACAATGTACTCTCGTGTGCACTGCTGACTCCTATTTACACTACACTATTGCATGATGTCCTGACCCACATTTACATTACACGATTGCATGATGTCCTGACCCACATTTACACCACACTATTGCATGATGTTCTGACCCACATCTACACTACACCATGGCATGCTGCGCTGATTAACATGTACGATGAACTGTGGCATGCTTCACTGATCTACATTATGTGCTGTGTACCTCACTGATAAAACCGGAAAGATCCAATATCCCGAGAGAAGCAATTATGTGATATATACTCTGCTGATGTTTCCTAATACGGGCATATTGCTTTTGAAAGGTTGATACGAATGTAGTTTTTCACTGCATCAGATTTCCATCAATCCATTTTCTAATATTTTCATTTGATACTCATCTGGAGATGCTGAAGTCGCGGTTCTTATTCTAAAGCTATGACCTATACCGCGGAGGATATCCATATTTGAAAAAAATGTTAAATGAGTTTAAGGCTTTTGGTAAAAAATGAGTAAGTAACTGGAGACATATCTGCTAATTGAAACAAACCATCTGTAGGTATGATTACAGTGTGAACAGGGAAAACCAATTATATTGTATAGCAAGATTTTCAGTAAAGACAGGTTGTAAATCACTATGTTAAAACTTGTAATTTTAGCTATCATACTAGCAATATATAATGAACTGTTCCACTTAAAATTGACATTGTTGACTTGTGAAATTGTGGAAGCAGAACTATTATGGCGAACTGTAAATTCTCCATTTATGAGAAATGCATAAAATGCTAAAATGAACAGACCCCGATAAAATATTCTTTCACACTTTATTTACGCTTTATTTGGCTAAATGATCTTATTCAATATTTCAAGAGTGATTGGCATCTTCTGTCTTAATTACCTTTGTTGCTATTAACACTTTTCAGTAGTGTTTAAAATTACAAAACTATTAGAGGGGTCATATATATTGGGTTTTTTTTTACAAAACATAATTCTGGCTTATGTAAATAAATGTTATAAAATTTAATTTTTACCAAATATAAGTGAGTAACAGGTTTTGTTATGGAAAACTTAGAGTACAGAATGCTACTTTATTTCTTTGTTCCAAAAGATGAAAGTTAGCATAATGTTGAATACCTCACTTTTATAACAACTGATGCATTACAGAATCAAGAAAAACGTTATAACTTTGACTGGAGAGTGATTCAACCAAGGAGTTAACTGGATATCGCACATAAACAAGATCTTTGTTTTGCTGGAAAGTTTTTCTCCTAAGATTCCAATAGCCAATGCTTCTGGTTGTAAGCAGTGGTTTTAGTTTTTCGGTCCTTCTCCAATATACCAGTTACTCCCTTAAGTGCCGGCTTCATCTTATTGGTTCTATGGTGTCTACTGAAAACAACTCTTTAAATAAAAAGGAGGACTTACCTTTGTGACCCTTCAATAACGACAAGCAAGCTAATTTATCGGTCCGCACCTCAGTGTTTAGGTGAGTGAAATGATGTTACCTCTTTATGCTGAGAGTAAGACCTATCAGCCATCTCCGGAAAGCTCTACCTGGTACTATGATAGCACAACCAATACCATGGGTTGTAATGGTTTCGAAGGCATCACATTTTTTCTCATGTTTGATTGGAATTTCCAAGATATTGGCGAGTTCCAAGAAATTCTGACATGAGTTGGAATCCGGAGGTCCCCCAAAAACACAACATCCAGGAGATGAGATATTTGTATGCTTTGTGATGTTGGGACATACTCGACTTAAAAAGGTGTGCTGATGGTTTCGAAAATTTTACAGACTGATGAGCATCCCATTGGCAAGCATTTAACATATTAATACTGGCTTCGTCTTGTAACTCATAGGAACCTGTAACTGGATGAGTGATTAGGGATCAGATGGAGAACGTCCTCGTGCCTGATTTTGCTATAAAGCATCGATAACAAGATTATCGAACTAATGCAATAGCAATACTGTACTCTAGAAAAGAGTTTTAATTGATTTGCCATCTGGATAAATAAGCCAATGAATCAGCTTCTTTTTTTATTGTGCTAACATTTAAAGAGATCAATGAGAGAAAACAAGGATTATGATCAGGCGTTGCTGCGTGCCCCAGTTCTGGTCATCACCCATAATTCATTTGTTGAAAACGATCCCGAGGAGAAAAGTAAATCCTCGAATAGTGTGAAATTGACATATTCATCATGACTCATTGTCAAGCATTAAATTATCTAAACATTTACAAGATACACGCTACTGATTACTCATTGTTGCAAAAATGTTGTACAAATCTATTTAACATAGGGGGATAAGTATACGTGTCTCTACACATATACACACATATATGAAAACAGTACTTTCTTACTGACAATTCGGGATATTCTTTAGTACTAGCAGCTTTTTATGCAGAGTTATGCCAAGTCTAATCACGGTGAAATAATGTGAGTTCGTAATGTTTGCTTTCAGATCAATTCTTTTGTATGTTAAAAAGTTTTGGAACGTTTGTGACAATAAATTGTTCTCGCATCATATTTCACAAATAGCAATCTCAAATTCTCAGATATTTCTCTACTTATTTAATTTCTACACTTTGAGATAGAAAAGTTGAATCCATTGTTGTTTCTTATAACACAAATACAGTGCAAGTATTTCAAAAGCAGCAATTTTTAATAATTTTGTGACTACAATTCTGTTAACAATATGCATAATACAATATTATCGTTTCTTGCTTTAACTCTCGAAAAATGCACTCACTTTCACCTAATGTATAGAATATGCAACATAATTTCTATATTTCTGTTTAAATGATCACTTCCACAACAAATCAGTAATGAACGTGTTTGACCTACCCGCGATCGTTCAGTAGCAACATCTCGGTACCATATCAACTATATCTGTAGTGCGATATCCGAATGATCATATCACCATTTTTGTTTTCTGATGTACGCTTGAGTCTTCTAGAGTACTTTTCTCTACTTGTTTATGCACATATAGTAGTTTAACTCTTAATCTATATAAATGTATAGTCATGAAAATAATTTTCGTGTAGAGTCCATCATCTTCATGTATAATATGTTGTCTGGTTCCTAGTTTGTTGAAAAACTAAATATACGTCACGAGATAATCTGTTTTTGTATGCATTCAACTGTAAAATCACTGTACATGCAATGATCTATGACATTTACATTGTTTATTTCAAATGAAATTTGTCAGCATAGTTTCTATTTCAAACAAAAATCTTTTACACAGAAACAGAAATGTAAAGCATGTTTATCTAAAATAGAACATAAATTGATGTAGGGATGTATGAAACAATTATAACACTATATCTAATCAGCATTATCATCAATCGCTAATTATCACATCATCTTTATGGAAAAGTATATTCTTTGTTACATTTTCACGATCTATATGTCATGTTTATTCTCGAGGACCGACAATCGTTAACAAAAATGACAAACAAATGTGCATTAGCACAAACACATTATCTAAAGCATGTATTTGCCATATGCAATTTCTTATGAAATAGGTAAATCTGTCATTTTAATAGCAAAACCATAGAAATATGAACATATCTGCAGAAAATATAGAAAGGATCACAATAAGATTATAAAAATCAGAGATCTATTGTTATTACACTTAGGTAAATAAGTATTTCAAAACAAACATCTTATTAGAAACAACGACCTACAACTTGTAGCAGGATATTTTAACATAGAAACATTTACGTTTTCGGATTACTTCGTCAGCTTAAAGTTGCAAATTGAAAAATTAACCATCTACATGTGTAAGAATTGAGTTGTTTTATTGTTTTGTGTTGACAGCTTTTTCCATGTTGATTATTCTGGGTCTGGTTTGCGTTAACTATATGTTAGTGACAATAACATTGACAAAGATGATAAAATTCCAATACCCATCTAGGATTGATATATCGAAAATCAAATCATTAGATAAATGCTGTTTCGCGCATTGAGGATCTTACAAGATTATGAAACAAGACTTATCACCACCTACGAATTTGAAAGTTTATCACATAACTTGAATAATTTTCTATTTGTCGAAAAAGCATTTCATTATACCGATACAAAATTTTAAAAATCTGACTGTATATCTCTTTCCATAATGGATCTACTAAGATGTTTTAGAAAATCACAACATTGCCAGGTCCTATTTCACGAACACCAGGACAAAAATGGATGTAAATAGTGTTATGACATTATAGTAGGACAATTATCTGATAAGTGGAGATACCTGGAAACTTATTATACATTTATTGATTAAACACCAATAGCGGGAAGATTATTTCGGACCCTCATTCAGTATAGTCGATAAAGTTTTAATAACAATTAGAAATACAATAACTTATGTAAAATGCATGTACATTATATAACTTTAATCACATACTTCACACTCACGTCAATTCTCGCTATGTTAATTTTGTACGGGGTCACCAGAAAGGACTTTTTACATCAGTTATATTAAATGCAAATTTCATTCCTAATAATAATATCTGAATCATGCATATCTATATTTAAACAAAACTTAAAGCAAATGTTTTCTGAATAGTAGATTTCGTATTGCTGAAAGTTATAGCTTAAACTTTTTACCCTATACTAAGTACATTTACAAGATACTACAAATTAACTCTATGATAAATAGAATACTTCTAAATCAGTACGTATTTGTTATACCGCAAATAGCTGGTTGTAAACAAGGATATATACTTAAATTGTATGTGCCATTATTAATCAGGAATATAAATTATTCACAGAATATATACTCTATTTTATCAATTGATAAAGCGTGTTCAGAACAAGCATAATATATAGTTTATATGAAATTGTATATTCTTAAAAAAGGAATAAGTGTAGCATGCTTATATGGCACCAACAATACGAAAGTGAATTGATTAAATACCTTTTTTGTGGGACTGCTACTGGTGATATTTTTCAAATAGTTCTTTTAAGTTAAAAAAGAACAAGTAAGAAAAGTAGAAATCTCAATGAATTGATCATAATATGAAATGTGTAACAAACGCGAACGCAACCAAGCTTAGGAAGGCAGTCTGCTGATTTCCACTTCCTGTTTCGTTTTCTAGAGTCATATGTTTTGTCCTTGCAGACAACCAGGAAGCGGCGAGTGCGTCATCAGCCAAGAGTGGGCCAATCGTGTCCTGAACTGTTTTATGGTAGGCGTTGATCCAGTTTACCTACAGGAAAGTCATGTCCATGAAATATCAAGTAGATTTATTCAGTATATCATATTGAATTCCTGTAACGTTTGCCTTATCATTACAATCAAACAAATAAATAGGTCAGTTACCTTGTAATTGTATCTATTGTCGATTAGAAATGATATCGGTAACAATGTTTTGTTTAGAGGCAGACAATATACTCATCAGAATAATTATAATCATAATTATGAATTTTTCGTGATGATATAAAAAACGGGATCAGAAATACACAATTTTCTCCATTTAAAAACATAAGACTAACGTTTAAATATCAAAATTTTACACATAGGTTGACAACAAACCTCTTGTTGACTCAACAGCTCTTTGACAATAAGGTGTGGCTCATAAGGTACCATTGTAACGGTTTCAAACGTTAAGAATGTAGTGCCAGGAAATTGGTACTGAAATATTGGAATAAAAATGTTATTAAACATATTTTAAACGAGAAATGATAGTTTGTTCAAGTATCTTCTCTCCAAATAGTAAAGTGAAGAGATAGAAAGTATGCTATAAGGCGTGGTAGAAGGGAAGTAACTCCTAACACTTCCATTATTATATATTGGTTGATAGGGCAAATATTACACCTAAACTCTACATCGCATATAAATTGAATGTCTTCCTGTAAAAACCTAAAAGCATAGTCATGAAGGAAAGGCAATCTATTAATGTTGATTTTCTTAATATATAGGTTTACATTTCCAAAAACCAAATAGTGAAAATGGTCATTAAAAATGTTGATATGTTCTATACCTTAACAAGAGCTCCGAAAAATATAATTAAAAACTGTAGTAAATATCATCACCAAGTCTCAAACAACAATTTAAAGATATACGAATGAAATGTACTGAGTCCAATATAAATCACTGCGGCTTTTTAGTTTTCTCACCACTGGCATTTTCGCTGATAGTTTAAATAGCATTCATTTTACAAAAGCACAATACAAAAAACATATTTTACAATCTACAGACCCACTATACAGATGTGTTTTCCAAACAGAATTGTGATCATATTTTATCACATCAAGTCTGTGTTCTCAACTTCAGACACCAAATGATAGTTACAGCTTTTGTATTACAACAGATTATACTAAACGTGGAATGAACTTATATGCTTTTGGATTGGCTGATATTGTGGCCGAAATGACGCTGCATGCACTCGAGAAAAGTAAGAAATGCATTAAGCTGTTCACAATTTAAAAAAAATTGTAATGAATTTATTAATATACGAATTTCTAAAGAAAAGTTTTAGAATAATATATTCCCTATAAATTAGCCGCATTTCGCTACAGGTCATATCATTAGGCCTTGACTAATACATGTTTAACAAGACACACCTATGCACAGAACAGGTAATTTAATTGATGAAATAACTCATTTATTGTGGTAGAAACATGACAAACAAATTTGAGGTTTTTGTATATGGAATCTCACTCTCGTTAGTTTTTTGTCATAATGTAAAAACACTCGCTAAAGTTCTTGTTTTCTGTACCTTTAACAAAAATCCAGCTGGAGTGAAATAAAAGCTATATACGACAGCTAATTGCTGCTCTCTTTCCAAGTTCAAATCTAATACACTAACTTAACAATAATAGCACGTTTATATGATATATAAATGTGCGCATCGTCAGTTGTACCTTTGTTGTGGCTTTTTTAACCATGACAATGTTTTCTAAACGGATCCCGAATTGTCCATCTTCATAATAGCCTGGCTCTGTACAAAGGTAGAAATACAATCACTAACAATGTATCACAAAAATAACACATTATATAAAACTAAATGGTAATATTTAACAAAAAAAATCGTTGGATTAAATTTTGATTTGCATGGGAATTGATCGCCTTCAACAGACAATATATTGATAAGTTATTTCTAGATCACCGTTCGCGAAATCTTGTATTTGCGAATATGTCTAAATTTAAGTGATTTTAGAAGTACATACAACTCTTTTTGCTTGGTTAACCATTTAATATCGTTTATCATTAGATCGTGTCATGCTGAATAACAGATGGCCCGTCATATAAAATATAATATTGAATTAAAAATAGACATTGCTTTTCACTTCGAAGTATATTTACCATCGGAGAAGAACTGGAATTCATTAAGCGGTTCATCACTGATAAAACTAGAGTGAGATAAAGATATCCGTCCAGGGCCTGCAATTGACAAACAAAATCCCTTTCAGTGTACTGGTATGTCATTCCGCGTATCCAGCGTATAGAAATAAAGGCAAAATATACCGACATGAATCCTGATTAAAAAATATTGAAACGATGGTAAAATATGAACAAAAAAGACAGGAAAAATAGAAAGAGGTCCTAACAAATAACAAGGGAAATATAGGAGCAGGTTTTAAATCAGCACGAACCGGATGGTTCATCGAAGACATCCACCATCTAAGTATAAACACCGTTAACAAAAACATAACAATGAAATTTTCACATTGAAACATGTCATTAGTATCTAATACATTAGAAATCTGATAACCACTTTACTTCGCGTATGTCTAACAATGCGAGGTTCTGAGACACTTACCAACACACACTACCTAAGCTAGGACAGTGACATGTTATCATTGAGACCTACCCTCATGCACACTCAGGTACATGCCGATTCCGTGTCCGGTACCATGTCGATACTGAAGGCCGACATCCCACAAAGGTCGTCTTGCTATTGAGTCAATTTCACGACCTACATAGATGAGAAATGTAATTATATAATCTAAGTATTACATTGAACACCAGTTTCTGTATTAAACTTAAATGTTCGCTGCATTTACTTACTTAATCAATTAATTAATGGTCGGCTGAAATCTTAAACGCTCATAACATACATAACATGAATTAAAAAAAAAACGGAATTCTGTCGTAAAAATTAAGTTTACTATTTCTATGGTTTAAAAAGAGAAATCCATTAAGGAGACCCCAATTGTGAGATACAATACAGTTTTGATCAGCAAACTTTTAATGAGAATGCAAATTATTCAAATTCTGTATCAATTTTTTCAAAAAAGTTAAAACCTTTTATCATGCAGGCGATAAATGTTCAATGTTATATGTTAAATGGGATTTAATATGATATGTTGACAAAAAATGCCAGTGTTAGTACTGTTGATTATAAGTGATATGAAATGATAAGTTCGAAGTGCATTTTTTGATGTTAATATAACTACCATTTGAACTTGATACATGTTATACGAAATCAAATCTTCTCAGTAATTCACATGCTTCGCATTTTTTCTTTTTTTTTTCTCTGAAAACATGTACTTTGAGCTTCCTATATCAGTAGAAGGGATATCAGGTTCAATTACTTGCAAATTGTCCTTCTACAACAAACATCTATATCTACTGCGTAGCAAGCAAATAAACAACCTATATGCAATCCAACCTTCTTAATATATGCACTGGATATAATTAAACTGACATGTAATGCAACAAAGCTTACATTGGCATGCAGTACGTACTAGAAATATACCACTACAACTTACACAAAGAGTAATGAGTATGTCTTGGCTATGATATTAGGGCACGCAATGCATACAGTACAGTTCACGTATGCGACGGTCACACACATGCAATATCCTTCACACATACACTAATCTAAATAATAAATATGCATTCATTTGTATATAATCAATCTAACAAATATACAACATGTGTATGCAAACACAGATCAATTAATGTTTGCATGCTGAGTTGATAGATATACCAGAGAAGAATTGTTAAACTATCAGTTTCATCACAATACAAATGCTAGTAATACATCAACGAACTCACCCAAGTGACCTCCAGTAAATACGAAGTCAGCTAAATCCACGTGACCCATAAGGACACGGGTGTAGCATTCCTAGAGCAAAAATATATCTCGTTATCAAAATGCCTTAAAGTGATAAGGGGATGTCAAGCCATGCGCAAATGCATGGACTCACCAAATGTTCCCCCGACGATGACGACATCAGCGAAGTCGACATGGCCCATAAGGACACGTGTGTAACACTCCTAAAAACAAGCAAACTGACATAATACCAACTTCAAATTATATCCCTGTATATCCTCTGGTTATATAGGGGGATATCTCTGGCCCATCATACCAATATGAATCCTGGTACACCTCGGTATAACGCCAATGACGACACAGTGAAGACAATAATCATCACCTTCCCTGATTTTCTCCTTTATGCTGATATTTAACAACATTATTTTTGCTTCTTCAGTTCACAAACTACCATGGTCATACATGTAATTAATCTGGTACAGGGAAAAATAGTGTACATATTATTCCTATTCTTAATGTCACCTTACTGGTTAAAGGATAGGACAACCCAAGTGAAATTGATAAAAATATAACCATTCTCCTTCCATACTTATTACTCTTTCACACATCACTTAATTGGTTTCCTGTCCTCCAAATTAAATGTTACATCGGAATCCGATGTAATCAGGTACAGGTGGAAATTACACCTGATTTCGATAAGCAATAAGCTGATATATAGTATTATTTATTTGCTATTGACCTTTTCATCACCTAATTAGCTATTGTAAATTAAATTGGTACGTTGAATCTAGACAAGCATCACTTTAAATTAGAATTGCATTTATCGTTGTAAATTCGGATCAAATTTAATCCATTGTTAGTTATTAGTGTTGGACTAAAACAATTTGTAGAAATCGATGACATATTAACATTACCGGTTGTTATTTGTCTGGTAATTACTTTAGACAGTAAGAGAGTTAAAAAAATATCATAATCTTCAAGTGCTTTATCATTTGGAAACCAAACGTTATCAGGAGATGCATGGATAAAACGGAAGAGTGTTTGGTAAGTGTATCAGGATTGGATTACAGAATTTAGTAATAAATCTAAAATTCATGCAATATTTGTTTTCTTATATTTGACTTTTTCATATGAGCAATTAAAGATCGGTGCCAAACAAAATTTCATCTAAGTTCCCATTTCCAATCTCCTTGAAAATACATGGACTATGGATAGAAATATGTTATAACCCTGGTCGCGTGTCGATTTATGGTAAGAACATTCGTACAGTTTGTAAACAGAGAAAAATAACACTTCTACCACTATACATTTTCGTTTAGTTTACTTATACAATTTATGTGGCCATTTTCATAACCCTTGATTGCACGTTCGAAATATGGTATTGTAGACACGATTTCCGAGCAGACAGAATTATTCAATGAGTCTTGCCTTACACGAATAATATCAAACAAACGCTGATACTCCCTCAGTTGATACGTCAATAAATAGAGCCAATCTTTCTCAATTTACAATCTAACCCATCAGTTATCGCACTGATGTCAACATGTTTTGGTGTGTTCTCCAACTTAAATCTAGCAAAGAAATACGATAAAAAGATGAAAAAGCTTATCTTTTGCAGAGAAAAAGTGCACCATACATCAAAAGTTGATCACAAAATATATGTAAAGTATTAACTAGCAATAATGCAGACTGGCAGATATATGAACCGTCACCAAAGAAGGTAAGAAAGGTTCAGAAAGGTTTATGGATAACTCATTTGTTCACTTACCATACAGATTATGTGGCCAAATCAATATGGCCAAGTTCACATGACCTTTTAACACTAGTGTGTAACACTCCTGTAAAATTCATCCAAAATATAAATTGTACCGGTTACATGAAGTAATTAATGACTGGCTTAGAAATGTGAACAGTAATACTCAAGACTAAAGTATAATTCTTGTCTTAATTTATACCCGAGACCAACCAACAACAGTCAAGTAAACTTCTGTGATCGTACATTAGATTACGTTTACACCTTTGTTCTTTCTCCTCTTGTGTTTTTTCTTTGGTGTAAAAGATCAAAAAGACCTTGTAACGTCGTTAAATTTCTCTTTCAGATTTTCAGATATATTGCTGAGAGAGTCATTGACCATGTCCATCGTACATACCTAACATAATTGGAAATAAAGGAAAATACAAAATCAAGATAGACAGTTTTCAAAACAAATACCTGTATGATAATTGTGTTATTTCAATTTCCCTATTGTGAATTTTCCATTCCTTGATAGCGACAGTCCTGCATTCGCAATTGATTGAACATCCAAGGGCCTGTTCACATCATCATGGCTATCGCGCAAGACGTTGTCAACTGACGGACAAACTCGTTACTCAAGATGCAGGTTAATGTAAATTATTGAGTAGTTTAACGGTCGTCATATTGTTTTCATTGATAAATATTTTATTCTTTTGTGTGATATGAATTGTTTGATTCTCGTTTGTTTGCCTATAAGTGCCATTGTTGAATGCCCTGTTCAAACCTTGACTAAGGTTTACATGACGGGTGTTGTTGGTGAAACAGAAGACGCTTACTGTTCCGGAACACCTGGGTTAATTTTCTTTGTTGGTATTTTCTTGTTTTTTTGTTTTTTTGTTTTTTGTTTTTTTGTTTTTTTGTTTTTTTGTTTTTTGTTTAATCTCTTTTTTTTAAAAAAAATTCAGAAACATTCATAGGGATTATGAAATGTATTACGTTTGTACAACCTTACATTTGAAGTGATATCAGTTGTTCAAAAGTCATGACACAATGAGCATGAATATGCTTTACCTTTTCGTAGGCTGTGGGAGTTCCAAAATGGAATGTTCTGGTAACGTCAGTGGTACCATCCCTATGTAACGAATATCGATAATATAACGTACAGATAAATATGCGATGTTCAATGCTAATATTTAAGCTATTTGAAGCTAGCAGAGTATTGATACCAAACTTGATTAGATTAACTATGCAATACTGATACATAAACGCAATTTCTTATTAACATAACCATAGTTTTACGCAAACTCTTACAAGTACATACATATTTTTCCGCAACCCTTTAGAAATATAACCAGTTTTATACAATGACTAATGAACACTATTTAGCAAGGATTTAAATGTACTAAAACTGTATTTGTTACTGTATTTCATGACTTACAGGTACTGGCCGCCTGAATCGAGGAGAAGCATGTCAGATGTTGTGATATCCTTGTCAGTGTCATTGGTGGGGAAGTAATGGATTACTGCTCCGTTAGAACCGGAACCTGCTATGGTGGAGAAGCTGAGGCCACGATTATCCTTAACCGCCCTGTTAGATAAATACCCACGTTATTAGTCCTGAACGTAATTGAAATAAAAACTGACTAGTTTAGGCCAAGAAAGCTAAAACTTTTAATCATAGATTACACTGGAAAGGACATCTTCCCTGTGGTAGTCAATTAAGGCGTTTTTCAAAGTTCAAGTAAATTTGCCTTATTAATTATACAATATGCAAGTAAATATGCATTTCGTGAAAAGTCTTATAAATAAACGTGTCATATCTGACATATCATCAAGACAAAACATAACAAAACTTACATTCTGTGTTTTTTAAGATCCGCTGCGGCTTTCACTTCTGTCCAATGCTTCCCTTCTTTAACCTTTAATAGTGTGAAAAAGAAAACATTACAATATTTTACCATGAAATCGGTCACAAATTGTTTTAAATTAAACGAATTCGTATAATGTCTAACTATTTAGACTTATTTGAAACTTTTGAATTTCCTACGAACAAGTAAACAATCAGTTATAATCATTACATGTTATATCATCAAGCTGATATATATATATATATATATCCTTAATCATTAAAGGTGTGGTACTTAGTTGAATTATAAAAATAATTCATTGATATCATCATTTGTGTATTAGGATTTATTTTAATATTGCCAAACTTACTTCTTTCTCAAGTTTTGCCATGAACTTTATCAGAGCAACCGCATCTCTGATCTGCAATTGAAAACATAGTTTTAAAAAAAGATTAAGACATGATTAACATATAAAATGAGTTTCAGGTAAAACTGAATGCAAGTGTTAACTTACGTGTGAGTTGCGCATTCCTTGTTGTTCTACCGTATTTTTCTGTGCCTTTTGCAGAGCTATTGGAGTGTTGTCTTGAATGACTCTCTGTAATTAATTACAACAAATATACAAACATTGTTTTTAGGCTCGAGACTTAGACATATGTCATATCGAAATATGCGCCAATACTATTTAAATCATAAGTCATGAAACCATGCCATTATAGACGTTGTGATATATCTTAAATAATTGCAAGACCATGTCAGGTGTGAAGATGAGTTATCCTACCTCAATTTTTTTATTTACACAGCCTCACTTGCTGTATCTTACCTCTGCAGTAATGCTGCTGTACACTGCCCGACTACAGCCGAACGACACCCACACGTACCCGGTTGTTGTTGAGACAGCTGAAGAAATATCATTCTGCAACTGCTGGTTGCTATACTCCTTAACCTAGAACAGGATTTCAGACTAGTACCAATATATGTTCTGTAGTCACTTTAAATGCATTATCATTTCAAAGCAATGGAGTAATGCCCAAGTGATGTAGGAACCTGTCAGACTCTATAGGTAACTTACGGTGACACACATGCCCGTTCGCCCGCTGCAAGACCCGCTTGCTCCTGTATTGAGATGTTGTTGCACAGTTTCAGTTGTAGCGGCATCTGTAGGTGAAGCGGTCAGCTTGCTAGTGGCACTCTTTATGTAAAGTCTAAAACATGAAACATTAAAACTTCTTTGTAGTTGTGTACTTAAATATCGATATCTGTCGACCTTAATAATGTCCTCCATTGTAATGTATTTGTCAAACAATATAAATGACGTTAAATATTTGTTAGCTATATATAAAAGATGTATTGTTTCTTTATCATTTTTAAGTATGGCATTGAGGAAAATGATTTAGTCGAGAGAATCCAGAAACTTGCTTTACCCATCAGTCTATACCATCATAGGTTTTTTTTATACTAATACAAACTGGATATATATCTCTATAATATATTGTGTATAAAACATAAACTATGTGTTGGTTATCCATATTCGGTGTGCACTCTGGTCATTGTTTGGTCTACGTCAAAGTAAAAACTCTTGTATGTTATGCGGTAATAAAAATAATTTCAGTATTTGAACCTTGATGGCGTCTGGTGTGTTGTTGTTTAAAACGGCCAGCAGTGCCCCCCACAGACATAAATAATACCATGCTTAACTACCCATATGATTGGAATGGAGGGAAATGTAAAATGTCCGCAATGTGGGCGCGTTTGATAATAAGTTCCGATTACTTCCTTTTCGAGCAGCACGGTCATTATTATCATTACAATTTTAACGTCCCATCAACACATCAAAGGTCTTTAAAAAAAAAAGAAAAAAGTAAAAAAACTAAAAGGTAAAAGACAAATGCTAAAAATCTAAATTGGTTATATTATCACAAAAGATTAAAATTGTCATAGTCGTAGTCTATAATATAGACCAACATCTTTCAGATAACAAAGAATTTTACAATCGCAGTTTCTCAAAAAGGGTCTTTAGACTTGTAGCGTGACGATAATTTTTTTCTCGGGTAGACAGAAGGTCAATGGAGTCCAATAAAAAAACTCTTTTGAAAATGTAGTTTGTATCTCAAGTTATGTTTTAGTTATTTGATTTGGTTTTAGCTGTCAATTCCATGGCTGTTTTTTTATACGGAGTTAAATAAATATAAGATTATTTACTTGTCTATCAATTAACAACAGCACAATAGTCAGAAATAAAATTATTTCGCTTTCACATCTAACAACAGTACGCTTAAAACAACTTTAAAAGTTGCGCATGTCTTTATATAGCTACAGTATGTGTTACCTAACTGTCATATAAAGTCATAATGATTCACAGTTCCTACCCATATTGCTGTCTCTTACAGATTTGTTCTTAATATGATCTGAATTAATTGATTCATTATCGACATTGTAATCAACCAAATTGAACTGCTATTTTGTCACCGAATTGTCGTGATTTCTATGCCAAAGTAAATAATTGTCACTAGATGGCAATTATCATTTAATAAGTGAAATGTCTTTCTGTTTAGTTTATACAATGGCAAATGTGTGTAAAAACTTTACAAATATGCCAATGAAATTAAGTTACTTACATCGTGGTATTGGCGGCTCTGTTCACAATGGCGTACGAGAGAAAAAATGGATTGTAGTCTATGTCAGAAGCTCGGAGGTTGAATAACCCTATAATAGAATAAACATATAGATATCTAAAAATAATATGATTAAAATTATATAACGCTCTAAACTGAGAGTAGTGTCCGTGGAGCATTGCGGTTAATTATTTCCAATAAAAGTATCAAGATATGCATTGAAAATTGATACGATAACTTAATATCAATCATTATTACATCAGGAATTGCTACAAGAGAAATGTACTTTCTTTTAGTATTAAAAGGCATTAACCGTTTTCGATAAATATTTCAATCGCCAACACAGCACATGAAACTATTCGTCAATCAAAGTAAGTAATGCCATGTTCATAGATAAGAACAGGGTTTACAACAACGAACTGTCATGCTAATGAACATCAAACACCAACCGCGGAATATGTAATTAGTTTGAATAAGGTCATCTATAAAATTATCTTCGTATGAGTACAAACGTCCACCAAAAGAGGGACAAACCCGGAAATCTTGGAGTGTATACATAGCATTCCTTGATATTATGTTTTGATTAGTCTTGTGCTGCCACCCAACGCTGAAAAACCAGCATGCGTCTCCACTGCACCTGCTGTACTTTATAATACCACATACAGAATAATTGGACCAAGTTTACACTTACATGCTGTTTCGTCCAGTCCTGTTACAATCATGATATCCGCTTCTTTCTCTGCCATCGCTACGTGCATATTGTTGATCTTATCCTGCCAGGATTTCCCTGATTGAAAACAAAAATATTTCCTCCATTGAAAGAACTTAATTAAATTTACACGTACAAATGCGAGAATTGCGATGTCAAAATCGGGTTCTTGTACATTAAGGAGACTTTTCACAACAATCCCAATTCTTTGAATTTTCCCCTTACGTAACTGGTTTTTCCTGTTCCTATTTCAGAAATTTATGTTGTGATATACAGCAGTGAAATTATATTAGTTCGTTAAAAATGGAACCAAACATGAAGTTAGAATTTTTTTTTCCAAGATCTGACTTCTGTTGCTCAAATGGTTTGTTAAATTTACCAAGTAGTTAGGGAAACCATGTATCGTGTGACGTATTTTTTCATACCTGAGTATTTGAGAGGTAAGGCGTTGATTGGTGAGTTTGGCTGGTCTGGACGGCCACTTGTCCAGATCTGGTCTATAAGATCCGGCGTAACTCCTTTCAACGTAATCCCTTTTTTGGCGAGATCTTTGGACATTTCATCCCATTCAACTGTAATTAAGAATATTTGCGTTTTGTAAGAGTTTAATTAAGAACGTTACAATATCGAAAGTAAATATCTTAAGTAAGTCAAAATGGTCTATGATTTAACATGGTTTAGTAGTCGGCCTACGCGGTAATCAATGAAATATTACTAAAACATCTTCCAGCATTTCGAAAGACGAAGTAATAGCTTATCTTGATTCAGTTTTGATTTTGAAACATATTCCGATTTGCCACGTAAATATTGCATTTCCGTACATCCTAAACATGGATACATATAAAAAATACTTTATTCCTGGTTCGTCAAACCTTGCACTGCCATATTTAAATTTATCAAATCAGGGTGAGACAAATTGTGATGTTGTATTGTCCAGAGATGAACTCATGGTCAACATAATCAGCATAAACTCAAAGAACGTTTGACCATTTATTTGAACATCCTCTTCAATAGGACACTTATTTTGCGGAGCTATAATTTATAATTCCCCGTGCTTAATTCATAATTTTTTTATTTAACTTAAATTGACTTTGTTTTGTTTTAAGACAACAAAACTCTCCGTGTAAATCCATCCTTTGTCAATATTTTCTCCGTCTTTTCTATTTTGAGTTTGATATTGTTACCATTGATGTTCGAAATATCGGTTCTGTTCTTTCGGCACCGAGATCAATGGATATTATATTGTATCTTAAACAATATACCTTCTAATGACAATAATAGAAATAATTATGTGTTCCTTTACACATCATTATTTCTCTATAACTTTACATTACATCACATAATATGAAGAAATGGATAAAGTATTCACACTTGGACATGCATTGAATGACCAATACACTGTAACTTACCGTTTTTAATGAGATATGTGTTGACTCCGAAACTCTGACCATCCATAAGATTTGCTTCTATCCATTCTGTCACGGTAGGCACACCTTCTTCTCCTAAAATTACAATGATACTATTGTATTATTGAATAATTTATCTCATAATCAAACATCTTAGATACCATTCTTAAATTGAGGATTGAAATATATATCAATCAATGGAAAAAGAAATTAATTTAAGACCAAAACAGATTATTTCAACTTAACTTAAGCATTACATTACCTAGCTTCATCAATATCCAGTGGCAATCCAGCTCGTCCTCAGCTTGCAGAAAGTACCGTCCGTCCGCCCATAAAGCAGCCTTGTTCTGCAAAACTACAGCACGACCTGTCCGGGCCGACAAATAAATATCATAACTAGTGTGAGAGCATACCACAAAAACTATAAAAGGTATCAATATGAAACTTTATAGGGAGATAGATCTCTATAGGGAGAAGTGCAGCATATAAGAACTGTAACTCTTTTTGGCATAATCTAGAAGTTATTGATACTTGATATATACGTTTGTCATATTAACAGAACATGCAGTATATCAAATTACGGGCCGGCAACACTTTAGTACACCATTGTTGGCATTGGATTAAATTTTGTGTTCAATAAAGTCGTTAGTTATTGCTTTATGACGGTCCCAGTTGAATTTCTCAATGAATGAGTAAATTTACAAATTACCAGCTGATCCAGACATGCCAGAAATGAACTCTCGTCGAAGGTCATAGTTCGAAGGGTACTCGCTCTAAAATTAGAAATGAAACAGGCAACAACTTTATTATATACTGTAGTTGAAGTTGATTACCCTTGTCAATCTACCTACTGAAACACGTGTTACTCGTTATTCTGTAACATTCCTGTTATCTCAGTACAAAGCTATCTGTTGGCTATCACAAACGTGAGCCCTGTCAGAAATCATAGGAAGCTATGTAAAATGTTCAGTTGAAAGCGGAAAGTGTAATGATGCGGGCTATATGGCATAGTGTAGGAATTCTTAATCTAACGTATTTGATTGACAGCCCCAGATTTGCATAATATGAACAAAAAATATAATTGTCTGTGTCTCTAATGAACATTCTTTGTACTTTCAGTAACTAAACAAAATCCTTTTTGTTCTCTTGGCTGACGGAAAACTAAGTTGATGAAGGCACACCTAATGACTGGAAGCATTGCTGGTTAGTCTTAACAACGAAATTGACCCTATGTCCACTAATATCTGTTAAACATATTCTGCGAAGCAAAAATGGTATTACAACCGTTTTTGATAAAGTTACCACAGAATGACATTTTTTCATAAATGCTTTCTTCATCAAACAAATTCTAAATACGCTTTCTCACCTGATGAGCGTCCTCGGAAGGCACCAGGTAACCATGAATGCCAGCGGCAGTAAAACGGTTGCGAAGATCAGATAGCCGTTCTGTAGTGTCTACCTGGATTTTGGGAGGCGTCTGCAAAATTTAGTGCAAGTACATAGAAAGACATGGAAAGCAAGTGTAGTTCGGTCTTTATCAAGAAGAGACCTTCAACTGTTACGCCTTTAATATCATGTTACATAATTATGATATTAAAGATAAAGCGGTAAAAATATAGTAAATGTACACTTGTTAAGATATACCGGTCAAGTTATGATAAAAAGCCTTAAAGTGTTTCGTCTTACATTTTTCGAAACGTTTTGTATTTTTTTTTTTTTTTTTTTATTTTGTGTGTATGTGTTATCTTTTTTATCTGTTCTCGGAAAAATGTTGGACATTATGAGCGCGAAGGAAATTTAATGCATTTGTTTGAATATGAAATCAACTGAAGTTAGATTTAACTCATTTTTTTCATTTGGAAATTCAATAGACTTTTAATTTAACCCTTTTGCACCTAAATGATTTCAGTATTTCTCGAGTAAGAATATACAGAGATTATACATCACTACGTGACATGTCTGTATGACGAATGCATTATGTTTTTTTTTTTTTTTTTTAATTCAAAGTTTATTGATTTTCAACACATTTATATGACATCACAAAACATGAAATACATATATGAGATATGGATATACAAGAAATGGTAGGAACACAATATCAATGTTGAGTGCCACCAAATATGATTAGTTACAAAAAATTGCTTTCAAAAACAAAATTACGGACTGTCACGAACTATGTATATGTATCAGTCAACATAACACAATCACGAATGCATTATGTTTCTAATTCATCTTTTCTTATTGCAAAACGTTTTGATATTCTGTTTCCATATGTGGGAGGCACGTATTAGACTTAATATTAGAGGTGAATGAATAAAAATATGATACAGATAGGTTAACACAAAATTCATATGAAGTATTTCTAGCTATTGTTTCACAGGCTTGTAAGAACAATAATTACCACGATGAAGTATGCGGCAGAATACATGCCGCGAAACATAGCTTGTGGATGCATGAAGAATACATGACACGTGTGTGTTGATCACAGTCAGGTCCCGTGTATCAATGTTCCGGTCTGATTTTTTTAATATTGTTAATAACATTTAGTTTGTGTACATCAATTGCTTCTAAATACGAAACAAGTAAATTGAACCATGTATTCTAACTGTGTTCCATATATAGATTAGGAGCAAAGCTTCTATTTTGCGGAGTGCTGTAATTTGGAAAACTCCAAGGAAGGTGAAATAAAATCTGTCTTGTCAGTTTGCTTGACAGAAAATGTTTATTCTTTGGGAGTTTTCCAATTTCCGAAATACATAATGTTAATCCCTGCCATTTGATTGTTTTACTTTCTACTTTGCATGTTTACCTAGACCAATAATAACTGTGCTATAGAACGTTGGGTTACGTAAACAACTGTCAAGGAGATGTAATGAATAAACATGACCGGAAGAATATCAAAGACTTTCTTGATGAATGACGTAGTGACCGTCCTTTTGTACTCAAGACTGTCACAGTAATCTTCCTATTAAGGACTTTCAAGTAGACTTATCAGAAATTTGAGTGTATGTCTGACCCTAACATAGAACGTTTATTGTTTTCGCGATACTGAGAGTGTCAGAAGGCATAGATAATCGTACGGATATCACCTCTACTGTCAAACATCAAAGATCACATGGATTGTGACGACTGGAAATGCTTCTAAATGTCTCGATCTATCTTTAATTCAAATACATAGAGGGGAACATAACGTCAGGGTGTCTGCTGTTTCAAATTAAAGATATAAGGTATTTCAGATAAACCATGGCAATGGCGGTCATAAGCTTGAAAGTAGATCATTTATCACGTCAGAACAAAATTAAAACTTCCGGTGGCAAACACCTCAAAACACAATATAGTTGTATTACTTATCTATGGGCAGTGGTAGTCTCCAGCTATTTTAACGTGTATACGTACCACTCCTGGTTGACAGTTTGGTCTGTCTGAGGGGGACATGTTTCTGATCCTTGTCATTTCAGACTCTGAACTCCTTTTAGATCGCATGTGAATTTCATCGTTAACCGTTAAAACTGATGCATCTGAAATGAGAAAGGGAATACTGAAGCTTAATCTTGAAGAATATTCATAAATATTGATAATAAGGCGGTGTGATACTTATATCTTCAAAAGGCTATAGGACAATATAGTAATTTGTGAGCACATTTTACTACTGAACAATTTTTTCAACAATAAGGACCATCGTGAAAATAACGAGTTACAGATTTAGATAATGTCAGGAATGCAGTAACAAAAATATAACGGTGAAATTTCCTGTAAAGGTACATTGTGGTAACATGATTTAGAGACAATTAAATTGCTTCATGCACAAACATGTTTCTTATCGTTGAAATTTCACACTGTTCTTGTTTTATTGATAAAAGATCTTCAGGTAAGTGATAAGGCACTCTCAATGAGTGAAGACCATCCATTCCTGTTTACAGTCTAAAATTTCTTTGACAATAGATTTCAAGAAAAACAATTAAATCGAAATATAATTATTTTTTAACAATTGCGTATTTTCCTTGTCGGTGTTGGAACGCATGGCAGTCTCATTTTTTTAATATTACAGATTTAGGAATTCTCCCATATTCAAAGGTGCAGTCAGGTTTTTGGTATCGAAATGGTAATCTGGTAGGTAGGAAAACTGTAACTTTCAATTTGCACGCGCACATGGAATTTTCAACAAGAAAACATATCAAACCAACAAAGTTTTTGTGTATTTTACATAGCTTCGGAGTTCTTTCACCATATAATGCTAATGCAAAACGTAGACACATCGAGCTTTGGAAGTAAAATCATCACTGACTCCCTTTCAGGTCACCCATACATGATCATTATTTTATCTATTTATTGATTTACTTATCTTTTATATATAAAGAATACATATTGCGCAATGATAGTAATTTTATGACTATTGATATAACTGAAGAAGACAACTGAGCATAAAGTCGGTCTTGTTACGACTGCCAAGTCTTTTCTCCACGCCTAATTTCTTACCCTTCTCAACTCAAAACCAATAAGGGGTGGTGTTAACTTGTAAACAAATAAACAATTACAAGAAGATATAAAATAAAGATAAGTTCTGATGCAGCTGATTACCAGAGTTTGTCAGAGAGTTTGCGAAACCTTATCTTTTGCCAATTTCCCGCAGGCATTTAGCTGTAAGACATAACACATCACTTCAAAGTTGTATTGATGTTCACGGTTTTCAGTTTATCTGTGTGACGATATCTAATACATGACGTTAATGTAATTGATAAGAGACTGCATGCGCTAGTATATTATCTGGTGTAGCTTACTTAACACTATGTTAAGAATTTAGATAATTATGCCAAATAGGAAAATTATCACAATTACAATTGATAACTGTAAATATTTGTTATGTGAAATGACACTCTATTTTTATTACCTTATTTATGACCTTATTCACAAATACCCGGTGATTCGAGTGACGATAAACATATAACATGTTTATAACCATCATGGCGCCTGCTTGTGTCTGTCGGTTAAATATATACCTACTCAAACAGTTTATGATACCAGCTCATTTTCACGGCACCTTGTTTCTCCACATACACTATTTTCGTTATGTTTACATAGACGAATCCTTACGGCATTTTTATACATTTCAGTATTGGTGCAGATACTGCCAGACCTTTGGACAATGTCTAAAATAAGTATGTTTAGGTTACACGAACTTTTATTAAAAAAAAAAGTAAATATATCTATTGCATTAGTATTGTGATCAATGAACTAATAACGACAGTACAGGCAGGTAAATTGTTAAATTTTGGAGGCAATCTTTCTCTTCATCAAGACCCAAAATCTACATCACATACATAGAACATGAAACAAAGCAAAAGTTACAAACTATATATTATCGAGAACGATAGCACGATAATCCCTTCAGCCAATGGACGCCGAATTCGTGCACTCTTTATAAGGATTAAAAAAAAACAATAAAGTAATGTTTGAAAGATTGTGAATTCTTATCATTAGCACTGATAGAGTCAATATAGATACCACTGAAGTATCCGCGGTAAAAGTATAATAGCTGTTTTCAATGTCTTCCAAATTGTTTTAAGTATTTCGGAGCATCAAATTCTTCGGGTTGAAAGAGTTAATAGAATAGCAGTTCACGACCAGTAGAAGTGTAATGTTTCGAACACAACAATGTCACCTTCATGAGACAAATGATCAGCACGAATGCACTAGCCTATGGAATGTACGAGATGCTACCTCAAAATCATATCATTGACTTGGAAAATTTCAAAATAGTCGATAAGTAAAACAATCTGTTCATATGATTAGTGAAAGGAAGCCATCTGGATACGCCAAACTGGGCTAGTAGTAAAAACAGCTGACGAGGAGGGGGATAGGCTCCCGCATATCTATGACCAAGCGTTTAATGTTAAACAAATGTAGTCGCTAATATATTTTACAATGGCCATATATCTTATAAGGTGGTAGTATTGTCATCGAAACGTCACACTTCAATCTTCTATTGGTTGTGTTTAAATAACTTCATTTTATCGTTATACGGTACTTAAGGCATATAAATTTTTATTATTATTGCCAGTGATAGGAATTTGTCAATTTGATAAACACTGTAGTGACGATACCATTTTCCCAGTGTTGTTTTGAGCATTAAAAGCGATGTTGTCGAGTTACTGGATTGGAAGTAGACGATTGTTGTCTTCGGACGCAGAAGACGCGAAGAGGAGGGGGATAAGCTGATTTTCCATCAAATCTTTCATGTACATTTTAAGTTTTAGTTTGTAAGCGGTTGTATGCTAATATTTCTCAAACTACTTTGAACGTCATTTTTTTATTTATTTATTTTTTTTATTTTTTTTTTTTTTTTTTTTTTTGTCTTGTCCACTTCCTGTATCAGTCAATATATTTAAGATATCCAAAAGTTTTAGTTGTTTCACTGGCTGTCAACCATAACACAAGGCATTTTCTTTCCATTTTCATTCATATTTTTACTGTACATTAGAAATGAGTTAATTCTTTAATCAAGAAATCGTCATTAATGTTAATTTCATAAAGTTATTTTATTTCTACAGAAGCATTACTTAACATATCTTATCCACTTTGAACAGAAAACTGCAGATGGCTCATTCATAATGGACAAAACCCTTTAACATATACAATATGTGTTCCGTTTACATTTGGTGCTCTCGGTACCTTGACCTCGATGATCGCCTCTTTACAAAATGAATGAAAGTTGTGCCAGTTTTACGATATACAGAGAGCGGTCAAACGGTCAATGACACTGTTAACCACTTGAGAACCTGGTGCACTCTTCAGACAAAGCTTAAACAATATAATTAAAATAGAACCTACCACTGGAGAACCCGTAACTTCACACGGTATTAGGCTTGTGTGTTTATGCATATAAGTCCCACAAACAAAAGTGATAAAGAAAGGAAAAAGAATAGTATACAATCAACATTAAATCATGATTAGAGAGTTGATCTTTCGGGCATTCTCAGCATTGAAAGGTCACAAGCATTCAATATGGCGATGAAAGAAACCAGAAGACCCTTTAAATTCGCCATTGATAACGTAGATTTTGGCAAGTAATCTTTGTACAATATCCCGGCCGTTTAGTGAGATTTTATAATTTAATCAAGAAATACATACATCGGTTGTTGATAAATCATTACGGTGATCAACATAACTATTTTTATCATAATACCAATTCATATTTAATCACTGCCATTCATCCTTGCCTTGTCGACACGTTTCATGAAAACCGAGGGTCGAATTCAAATGTAACTTGAAAGATATGCGGAGTACTTTCGACTATTCTTTTTTCGATCGGACATCAAATATGGCCGACAGAGGCTCTGATTGGCTCAAAGTTAACAAGCTATGACCCAAAGTTAACAAGGTCAGTGTCCGTCTCTCCAATGTCATAGGTCGTATGAGTCGCTATGCCAATCAATACATTTACAAACATGCAAATAATTCTATTAATACGTTAATCGTAATTCAAACATTTCTTTCCAATTTTTTATTTTAAAATTCAATTTACAAAACTCATGATCACCAGCGGATGTTTGTTAGTAAAGTGTTAAGCCCAGAATCAGAAAGCTGGTACCGAGTGGCTGGTCAACAAATGCTTGACTACTTCCTGTCCATTTAAAATGCAAATTAAATATGAAGGGGATTTAACGGCAATTTATATTCCAGGCACAGCTCCTTTTGCCTCGTTTTATCACTTTAAAGAAAGGTCAGCACTCCGGTATATCACTTAAAATCTTGAAAGTAAACAGAATCATCGTCATAATTGTGTGCCTGGTATTGCTGTTCTTGTAATCATGCACATCTCACGAGGCTAGGTTTTAAAACGTTTTCGATCATTGGTATGAAATTTTAAAAAAATTAAAATATGTATCTAAACATGTATCAATGTTTTAAAATAACTTCATGTCATAATACTATGATGATGCTATGTGTGTTGTAGAACAGTGATATATATGAATGCTGTAATGTCTCTATATACATGTGTTTTGTAACACATTTGAATATCCGTTTACCTCAAAACATTCAGATATGCGTATGTTGTAATACCTCAAGGGGTTTCTGCGTATGGAAGAACATTCAAATACCTGTGTTATGTAGTATATTCAGATACCTGTGTATTGTAGTATATTCAGACACCTGTGTATTGTAGTATATTCAGACACCTGTGTATTGTATTATATTCAGACACCTGTGCATTGTATTACATTAAGATACCTGTGTATTGTAGTATATTCAGATACCTGTGTATTGTAGTATATTCAGATACCTGTGTATCGTAGTATATTCATATACCTGTGTATTGTATTATATTCAGATACCTGTGTATTGTAGTATATTCAGATACCTGTGTTATGTAGTATATTCAGATACCTGTGTATTGTAGTATATTCAGATACCTGTGTATTGTAGTATATTCAGATACCTGTGTATTGTAGTATATTCAGATACCTGTGTATCGTAGTATATTCATATACCTGTGTATTGTATTATATTCAGATACCTGTGTATTGTAGTATATTCAGATACCTGTGTATTGTAGTACATTCAGGTACCTGTGTATCGTAGTATATTCAGATACCTGTGTATTGTATTATATTCAGATACCTGTGTATTGTAGTATATTCAGATACCTGTGTATCGTAGTATATTCAGATACCTGTGTATTGTATTATATTCAGATACCTGTGTATTGTAGTATATTCAGATACCTGTGTATTGTAGTACATTCAGATACCTGTGTATTGTAGTACATTCAGATACCTGTGTATTATAGTATATTTCAATACATCAATAAATCTGTTTAATACCTTGATATATATATGTGTGTGTGTATTGTAGCACTTTATGATATATATGTGTATTTCAGTACATCGATAAGTACACTTGTATGTATACTGTTATACCTCAAAACATATATGTATTGAAGTACCGTAAACTATCGTTGTGAAACATTACCATGATTTATGTTCCATAGTACATGTGTACTCTCTAAGTACCTTAATATATCTGTGTGTAACATTACCATGATGTCTATATTCCATGTTACATGTGTACTCAAACTTAATTTATCTGTGTGTAACATTACGATGATGTCTATGTTCCATGGTACATGTGTACTCTCTAAGTACCTTAATATATTTGTGTGTAACATTACCATGATGTCTATGTTCCATGGCATATGTGTACTCTCTAAGTACCTTAATATATTTGTGTGTAACATTACCATGATGTCTATGTTCCATGGCATATGTGTACTCTCTAAGTACCTTAATATATCTGTGTGTAACATTACCATGATGTCTATGTTCCATGGTACATGTGTACTCTCTAAGTACCTTAATATATCTGTGTGTAACATTACCATGATGTCTATGTTCCATGTTACATGTGTACTCTCTAAGTACCTTAATATATCTGTGTGTAACATTACCATGATGTCCATGTTCCATGGCACATGTGTACTGTCAGTACCTTAATATATCTGTGTGTAACATTACGATGATGTCTATGTTCCATGTTCGATGTTCCATGTGTACTCTCTGTGTACCTTAATATATCTGTGTGAAACATTACCATGATGTCTATGTTCCATGTTCCATGTGTACTCTTTAAGTACCTTAATATATTTGTGTGTAACATTACCATGATGTCCATGTTCCATGGTACATGTGTACTCTCTAAGTACCTTAATATATCTGTGTGTAACATTACCATGATGTCTATGTTCCATGGTACATGTGTACTCTCTGTGTACCTTAATATATCTGTGTGTAACATTACCATGATGTCTATGTTCTATGGTACATGTGTACTGTCAGTACCTTAATCTATCTGTGTGTAACATTACCATGATGTCTATATTCCATGTTACATGTGTACTCTCCAAGTACCTTGATACCTTTCAGGTTCCATATTATCCATATGATATGTGTGTTGTTGAAGGATAGCCGTACAATTAAGATAACTTTCAATCCAGTACCGATATCATCACGACTCCTACGATTTGTTGTTCTTTCATCTACATAACAGAATTTTTAAAACTAAAAAAGCGAACCCCTTTACCTCAACTGTTACACACAGACTGATGTTCAGAGTCTAATGGAGGTTCACAGAATACACTCTAAGTAATCAAGTGAAATGAACTTTAATGGCATGCTAGTAATTAGTTAAAAAGAAACGCTTCAACAAACCTGTGTTACAGCATCTGTTGAGTTGTTAGTGTATCAGAGTATAAAGATACAGACCCACATGATATTAGGACAGTCTTGTATACAAGTATCATCAGGTTTGAAATCCGTACCTTTTTATCATGACCTCGTTACTTTCTATTGCTTTTTGAAAGATGTTAGTTTGTACTAAATAGCTTGGGATCGTGTTTGTCAAGGCTGACAAGTTATCAAAGTACAAACAAAAAAACTTCATTTCTACAAAATGATGGATATATCATGTAACACGTCAACTATATGTTGTTTGATCAGGGTGATGAATGTATATGATGTATTCCATTCCGTCGTTTTCGTCTTTGTCTCCAGATGTTTAGTGCTGATATTAATACAACGGTTTATTGTCAATTTATGACCGATCCCTCCTGGCCTAAACACTCAATTACGCGAATAAAAAATAAACAGTACCATTCGGTAAGACACTACATTTAAAAAAACGAATTTGTACAAATATGTAATAAAATACAGCGGTGGTAAATAGAATGTATTTGAAATCTTATTATATGTACGATTGAGCTCACATTCCTCAAGGTCATACCCGTCCTAGTACGACTATGTACGTAATTTCATGGCCAGCTATCCTGGCATAGACAAGACATCACGAGACACATTGACATGATAAGATACAGTTTATTTCATATCAAACACTTTTAAAATGTAAAACACGTGCCAAAGAATATATCAACGCTACGAAACGTTACCACACGATGTAACACAGATTTCCGCGAGATATACCTTTAAGAGTATTGTCAACTTGACGTATAGCTTACAATATCAGTTATTAGAAGCATTCATTAGAAATTTGACACTATTTTTACTCGCTGGCATTATGGTTTTGCCTTGCAGTCACCCTTTAGACATCACCATCAGGTTTTGAAATGTCATGGTATGAAAAAAAATCATAGCTAAACGCGCAGTGCCCAGTGCCAGTGAATCAAAGTATAGTCAGCTTAATATAATGCAAGGGAATGATTCGTCAACAACATGATTACATCAAGAGGTACAGAAATGTTGTAATTCAACCTCAATAAGCCGAGAGCAAACCATGTACAAAGATATAAGGAGAAGATGACTAGACTGAATAAATTCATCAAAACCGCATTGGTAGATTTAAATGTCACATATGGAATATTTTTTTCATTATTTTTTCTTAATTTCCATAACAGACATTGATTATCCATTTCTCTGAAATTTTTTTGAATATGCTAACTTTGGTGATGGACATTTTTCTATACAATCCCATTTACAAAGACGTAAATAAAATATTGGATTTTTTTTTTTTTTTTTTACGTCACTACTGAACAGGAGATAGGATGGTCTCGATTCATTTAATTTAATGTTCTTATTAGCTCTCTAAAGCATCGGAAAAACCTATTTATGATTTCGTAATCAAGCGTAATTGCAATGAAAGAATGTCAAATTATAAAAATTTTGCACATTAATTGAATAGCACTATGGTAAAAAAAGACTTACTACAATCAGTTGTATTTTTCAACTATAGGAATGTTCAGATGTAATTTTCAAATATAGTATATACTATTGATTCCGTTGTAATGACACAGCATTTGTTTTGTCCCTTTGGATGGACCTATTTCGGATTTTAATATCCTCGCTATGTGAATATAAATATAGCAATGAAATAACAAAGTAAACAAACAACACCAACAATCTTCCAAAGGAAAGATATCAAGGCAAAATGATATTATCGTTTAACTTCGGAATTAGAGAATTTACGTTTGAATTCCAGGTTCTCTAGAGCCCTACTGTTTTATGGACTGTGTTACGATATCGGAATGCTGAACATTTAGTATGTTTACTACTTCATGGAATGCATTAATGAAATAAAAAAAAAATATCATCCTGTCAATCAAAGCCTCGAAGAGACTTTATTTCAATCAAAGTAGATCATAAGAAAAAAGTTAACAAAAGGCAATTACTATATGATATTTCTAATGCTTTCAAATATCTCTCTACACAAACTGTTTACGTAAACAGTACAACAAATTAACCTTGTTTACCTCTAACTTGTTTACTGTCTCAAACCTGACAAGCAGGCATCTCCAATTAAGATTAACGATGGCGTGTGTATTGTATTTCGTTTAAGGGATGCGTATATCATACTTCCGTGAATTATGTGTTTATTTCACATTATAAAATGCTAATAAGACATAATGAATCATTTTTGTCAGAAGGTCGACAGAGATCGTAGTGCAGAAAGGACCATTTGGGATTGTTGTCTGAAGAATTCCTGAAAAGTTTGCACAATTATATTAAATCTATAGTACAATAAAATATTCAAGAAAGAGAAACAAGAGATTACTTACTGCATAATCCAACAAGCCCAAGCAACAGGAACACACCCCTCATGATTGCTTGGAGCGATATATACTCCTAGTATCCTCACTCTGCACAAATACTACTAGACCCCCGAAACATCTGATGCGAGTTCAGGCGCAGGGCTACACATCTACGTCACCTCATTAGTATTCAAGATCAAAAGGTCACAGGCTAGAGTTCGCATATCTGGCTGATATTTACATTCGTTTAACTTTAAATATTCATCTAGGGCAGGTTGATGATCTACAAAGCTACTAATTTTTACATATATGCAAAGATATAGTTTCTGCCAGGTTGATTGGGTGCATTATCTATGAATTTGAACATTGGCATTTATATGAAAAAAATGCGGTGTCGTCTTCGTTATAATAACACCGACAAATCTATTCCTTTAACGACAAGATGTGTGGAAGATTAATCTGAATTATTAACATCTAACCACAACTTTCTATCGTGACATTCCGTAAGTTATTCTGAGTGCATTGTAGTGTGTACAGCTGTGTAGGCATTACTTGTATATTACATCACTACAACCGATAGAAGAGTCTGCCGGAAGGCATTTATAGGGCCACTAATCCACATCCATTAACTGTAAACTAGTAATCTTAACATAGCCCAAACTGTTATCGACAGGAACAAATGCTTTATTGCGTCTTAAGTTATTAGTATCCTTCTACAAAAAATTAACGTTATCATTACAGGTTGATTTTACAACAGCTCAGTCCAGATCACGCAGTCGATATCAGGACAACAATAGAGAGTTGTACGATAAAACAAAAACAGTGTGGAGTCCACGTATAGATAATAATCAGCGCTTTGTTTCTCCAAAGTTTTTATTCTACAAAATGTAACTATTTCTACAATGAGGTCAGTGAACTGACAGAGAAAACTTTAACCGTAATGGAAGGAATACGGAATTTTTTAATGTTACCCGTACTTGATATGGAACCTGAAGTGATGCCAACTGCATGCTACATACAGAACAAGATATGGTCACAACCACCTATCGCATATCATTATACCCGTCATAATGGCACAAACTACAACATGAAACTGGGTTCGAATCTGTCTTTATATTAATGTTTGTGCTGTGATCAAAATATTGAAGGTTTGTGATATCGTGTACCGAAGGAAGGCAAATTCCTTTCATTTTCCAGTTTACAAACGTATGACGGTCTCGAATGAAGACATCAATTAACGCCGTTGATCGCGCATGCCAATTGAACGTAAAATCAAGGACTATACAGACGCTTCAACACTTGTCGCTTACCCCGGTCTTAACTTGCTATGTAGGGCGAAAAAATTCTAGACTGTAATGCCTACGGGAGGAAATGGCCTCGCAGTTTTTTGAGAGAAGATGAAGGTTGTGAGGAACATATACTATTGCCACTAGGATCTAACTTAAATATATCTGATGTGTTTGTTGTTAACATGTTTTTATCGTATCAAATAAATACAATGGAGATCGGACACAAGTTGTCCAACTTTTATTTCACACTCTCCTATCTTGTACAGTGAAATTTGTGAGAGCTATCACATATATTGCATCAATATTCATATTTTTAATTCCAGTGCACAATTTCATTTAGCTGTTACTGTTTTATGTGTAAGAATCGAAATCCTGGGGACACACCTTAGTATGTCATCGATTCTTGCATGAATATAAAGTACGATTTTACAGGATTAAATCTGACTTACGCTCATTGTGTGTATGTAAATTAACTCTATATATTGCAATTTCATTTGATATAAATCGTCAGCTAGGATGTCAAGTTTGTTTTAATAATGTTCGACTACTATTACCAAGTATATATATCGTACATTAAGAAAATAACTGTGACGGATATTCCAACTCTCATACACGGAAACGTATATGATCCATTGTATTTTAATATACATGTTTCTATTACATGTAATACACGTGCTTTTTCATACCACAATGAAATATCTATACGTCCCGGTTGTCAGTGACTTTCTTACTTTCTTAAATATCTTGACGACTTTACCGCATAACCTAAACTGAAAGTCAGTAAAAGGTGTCCTGGTTGTAGAACAGTTCACAAAAACGAACTTAGAATGAAATACGGGGAGGGTTTACTGAATATACTTTCGTAAACTGTGTCACATATATTTTACATATAATCTAAAATTGTTCATTGTTCAAATATTCCTAGATAACATCAGAGGCAATGACAGATTTATGGAAAAGTACCGATCATGAAATTATCATAAATAGTGTATGATCAAAAATAAAGTTGTTTATCAACATGATAACATACATGTTACAGAGGTTGGAATAAGATAACTATGTACTGCCAATATTCGTCATGAAGTGGCAATCATAAATCAATGGTTTCCAAACAGATTTGAGTTATAAAATGTTGTAGGTAATTGACATTGTTCGTTTGTACGTTGATGATAAGAATACGAAGGTAGATTGGAAGTGTGGAGTTTATTTCATCTACTCTTAAGATCAAATATCGCCTGACCAGCGACCATTTTTGTTTACTAGGTAGACATCTAGCAACTTTATTCCTGCAAATTATCACACAATTTAGCTAACTTATGCTATATAAACAAACGCGACACAGAATGTAAGTATTAAGAGTACATAACAGAGGATATATTCACTCTCGTTGTTATGTTTTCAGGTTTTAAAAGATAAAGTTTCAGAAAACAGGCTTCCATTCAACAAAAACATTTGTCCACTTCAGTGTAATTAAGTGTTCGCCAGTCTGTCCATTTTCCTTTTCGTCTTGTATAATGCAAGTTAATTGTCATTAAATATCTGAAATTGTTTCACATCTATTAAAAACAAATGCCCGTATCAACTTGAAGTACCTCACGTAACATTACACATATTTAACGTTTATAATATTCCAGACAGTATCCAGGTGTATTCATCTAAATACATTTGGGAAATCTTCCCCAAGGGGGAGAGTATCTGGTATTTATAAAAGCAAAACTTATTTGACTGGAAATGCGTATGGCTTTGTAGTAGTTACCTCCCTTTAGCTTACAGTTCTTATTTCGTGTATATAAATGCGATAAATACAATATAAAACAATGATTTGGGCTTGAAAATTAACTCATGAACTAAATAAATATTAGGTAGGTAATTTAGATGAAATTTATGCCTAAAACTTACGTTATATCAGTTACATGTTCCACCAGACGGCGTCTCTTTACTCGATAGTGGCCTTTTGTTAGGGCTAGGGGCTGTTTTGATGACTTCCAGTGGTTGTTACGGTCTTCCTGTCAGCTCACTGGCTATATACTTACCAGTTCGATATTCAGATAAAAAGGGTAAAAAAAAGTGCCATAATTAGTTAGAGATAGTTTCTTATAAATCCTAACTATTTATTCTATTCTATATAGCATTCTACTCATATACCACCTTTCCTGTAAAACATTAACGTTGTTTTCATCTGTAGTCTGCTTAGTCAATATAATTCTGGCGAATCCCTAATTCTAGGATGTAAGACCTTACTGAACATCATTTTCAGACCTTGTCGTTTTCATTAGGAATTGTATAGCAATGTTGTGAATTTCATGTCCGTGAGAACTCACAAACACAGAGTTAACCTGATGACTATATCCCGGTCGCCGGTAGGGTATCATTTCCTATATACCAGGTTATTCTAACAGAGAGCTTCCCCGTGACAGCAGTTGTGTTTCAGCCCTCACCGACCGTCGGAGATCACCATAATATATTCCTGTCTTCACCTTAATAATACAGGTAAGCAAAGTTCTAAATACATAAGTTAATCTTTACCCGTTGTTAGTGTAGTAACAATTGATGTAAACGAAATTAAAACTAATGAGTGTGCAAACCATAAGCCAAAGAATATATACATGGAGGTGATACATGTTTAAAAAAACAGCAGAAGAGACTAAGTCCTTCACTTTGAAACATTATATCATTGAAGACAACCGTCATATAAATATTGGCTATCAATTATCGTACATATCTCGGTTCATATCCCACAAGGAAGTAGAACTATGGCATAAAAGAGCATGAATTACGTTGATAAACGTATGTTTTACTTTAGCATGTTAACAGGGAGAATGTCTCGAAATATAGTCTGCATTTATATGTCCTGCTGGGTACTAGGTACTCAAAATAAAGATGTGAAATAAAAATTACATTGTTTGTAGTGTTTGTCATCTAAGTGACATGCATTTATGTCGACATATTGAAAGCCACTGCAGTGTTTAGACAGATGTGATAAATGTTGTAGACATCTAACAATGTTTGTTGTACTGCAGGATGTCTTGGCAGCCTTACGTAGACGAAACTCTCAAAGGAACTGACAAAGACGACTCATACATTGCGGGGATTTTTGGTCTAGATGGAAAACCATTGGCTGTACATCCGTCCACATTTTCTCCCTCTGAAAATGACGTCAAGGCTCTAGCTGAAGTCATTGACGGTAATGACAGAGAAACTGTGCAAGTAAATGGATGCATGTTTCAGCAATGGAAGTATGCTATCGTTAGAAGTGAGGGCAATATGGTCAGTCTACAGAGAAAACGAACGACTGAAAACGAACAACTCTCAGCAGGAGACAAATGGCCTCTATGTATATACAAGACAAAATCTGTCATTATAATTCGGATTTCCAAACTCGGAGTTGAAGCTGGCAGAGACAATACCGGGAAAGTTGGTGGTGTCGGAGATTACCTTAACGCTCATTAGATCATAGAATTTGATTAAAATAATCATTTAAGTTTTTGAAGCCTAATACGTATATTCTAGAATCTTATAACAATAATATTTTTATGACTCTACCATGTTAAATGAAATTCATCAAAAGACCTATTTGGGATCATCCTAGAACATTGTTCCTTGGTCGTTTCTTTTCTACAATTTAAGACACTACAATTAGGAAGTTGTAAAAACACCATTATAGGAGTGTTAATCGGGTTATGTCTTGTATTCACTTACACCTTCTCATGGCAGATGTAACATTACACAAAGTATGCTATTTTATATTCATAATACTAATGACATCAATGTTTTTTCACAAAAGAATGTTCCCAAATCTCAGTGTATCAATGTAGTCAACGTTCTTTTTGTATAATTGTTCAATTTGTAATTCAAATGAATAAAATCAACCATCATTCGATGTTACTTCGTCTACTTATGTGTGTAGTTTTCTCCTTAATTTTAAGGGACACGTTTTATCAAAATATGACATCATGAAATTAATCGAATGAAAATATTTGTGTATCGGTACACTCTAACAGGAAGGTTTGTTCAAAGCGTGATTATTGAAGTTTGTTAGTTCAGGAATGTTTGTTAGTGTTATCATACTTCCTGGTGTTCTCCTTTATCCTGTTTGTCTATTGTAACATATCCTTCGCAAAACGACCAAAAATTTGCTTTTTTTTTCAGCCGGTAGTGAATGTAAATAAACGCGAAGCATTATCACCATTACTTTTTAATGTTTTGGATATTTAAAATAGCAAGCTGGCTGCCTTGGCTGAAACTAAGTGTGAACAAGTATGAAAAATTTACACAAATGTGAAAGTGTAAATCACCTCGGTTTGTATGGAATGAATTTGAAAGTTGTGTGGACGTGCCTTAATACACAGGCACCATTACTGCCCACACTTAACATGCTAAAGTCTATCGGCGTGGTTCTATCCGGTCATTGTTAGATATATCCGTTTAGACATATAAAGACAGAATCTCAGTCGGTGTGAATAGACAAGTATTTCCTTTCTACTTCCTGGAATATAGTTTACAAGTCAATGTGCAAATTTAGTTTTATCGTTATCAATGCAAGTAAATTATGACCCGTACTTATCATCGCTATGGTAACAGTGTTCTTGAGTGTTATACGTGTGATTTTGTCACGTAAATATCATAATTTTCTATCGTGTTAAACTATTAGATAATACATGGTTGTATAAAGTTTACTTTTATTTGCAGCGGTATATCAAAATTTGTTAATTTTTCTGTAATGATGAATTCAGACAACAGACTCCTATCTTGTTTCTTTGTTATCTCATAACTGATAAATGATATGCTGGGAAGGTAACAGAAATCTCGTTATATAAAGGAAAACACGTTGTTTTTCAAACCAACAGCATTCACAACGACAAGGACCCACTATCAAATAATCCTTCTAGGCTTAAATAAAGGTATTCAGCATACCCGAAAACCATATTGCTGAGGTAGAAATCTTCAGCATTCTGTTGTAAAGGGAAAGGTATCCGTTTGCTATGTTTAGCAATGTAACGTGTGACAGTAGGCGTGGTGAATCTCGGGTAGTGTGTTCTGTTACTTACTTGTTTTACTTCCCGGGTCGTTATACACGAAAGTAATAAAGAACGAAAGTTCAGGTAAGTGAGTGCTTTCCTCTAGGTAAAGGTAGAGGCAGGTACATATGTTTCACTCATATATCTCAGGCAGGTCATATTGCGTTATGAGGCTTGGGTTGTGACATTTTGCAATTTTCGGTATCTCCATATACTTTTGAAGGGTCGAATAAAAATATTTTTTTTCTTAAATGCATGTCATGGAATACTTTCCATGTAGTTGTATATGCGTCTAAGATAAATATACATCATGAAATAAGAATATCCTTTGCAAAGTTTTATGATATTCAATATTTTCCTTTCGGTAAAACATCTAACTAAATTAATATGGTCTGATGCTACTTACGCTAAAATGACACGTGACTTCAATTGGAAGCATATACGATGCAAATGAAACGCCCACATTTTCTAATTCTGGAGAACAATATCAATACACCTCCAAGGTATGGTAATTACATGTTACAATTCATTCGCTATTCAAGGGACTGTTCCCATATCCACGATTTTCGTGCAAGAAGTCGTCAACTGACTGACAAACTTGTAACACAAGGGTTCAAAAGATGCAGGTTGACGAAAAGTATGGGGAAGTTTTATGGTCGCCTTAGTGATGTCATTGAGAAATACTCTATTTCTTTGTGTGACATGAAGCTGGACGTATTTGATGCTCGTTAGTTTGCCTGTTGATTCCGCAGTTGCTTACCATGCTCTCGTTTGAGAACGTGACATTACTTATGTGGATGAACCAAGGTTTACAAGGCGGTTGTCATAGATGAAGCAGAAGACATTACTCTTCCGGAACACCTGGTCTTATTCTCCTATTACCATTTCAGGAGTCTCATTGTAAATCTTTCTTTTGTTTATATTTCCCCCTAATTTGATGGAATTGAGTTCGAATTATGATATGTTGCCATGTTGGTATTTTCTGGATGTTTCTTGATATCAATTAAACACCACGTGATTAGCCAACCTACATGCAAAAGCAGGAAGCGTTTTAATAAACATTGTCTCCCTCAACGACACAAAATATGAAATAAAATGTTTGAAATATGGAAAGTGGAACTAATTCAGTCGAATCACTCACATTCGTACGAAATTACTTCAGTGTTTCCTGTTGACTTTTATTGATTTACTTATAACCTGTAGATTATCAGCAGATAATTGGCTTAAGACATGTGATTTAACAACGTGAACATTATCAGCGCCGAAGTAATATATCCGGCCACACTATAACCCTGAGTGATATGCGATGGACATGCATTAAGTTGTAAATAAATTATAGTAAAAGTGTTCCTTGAATACGTAGAAGATATACATACCAACAGGAAAAAGAAATAAAAGAAATCTTATGAGTAATGTGGTAATTTTTGGAGATTCATAACAAATAAGGACTTCATTAGGCAGTCATGAATTAGAACACTGACTGTCCGTAGAGGAATATTATTTCACTTGTCGGTAGATGCGCTGGCAAATTGGCGGAGATTATCTGGGATGTTTGCTCGACTCCGAACTCTTCTGTGTAATTTATCCCACAATGTTCGATTTGGGATGACGTCCTGGGTTGCAAGAAAGTCCCTACAAACTCTTGCACTGTGTGGCCTTGCGTTATCCTGCTGAAAAATTAAAATGCTGCCTTGTAATGAAAGGTACGACATGAGGCTTCAGGATATCATTTCGATGGCGTGCAGTCATTAAATTCCCGTTAATGGTCGCTAAAGATGTCTTCAAATCTCCTTCGCAACCCATAACCGATCCACCCCGAAATTTGTCGTACTCTAAAACACAAAGGTCTGCAAGACGCTCTCGCCGACGCCGGTACACACGTTGATAGCAATCAATAATGTGAATCGCGATTCATCCGTGAAGAGCTAAGACCTCCAATGCCCCATAGGGAAACGCATGGGCACCTGTGCCGTCAACCACTGCATACGATGTGCTCGACGTTGAGGCGTCACTGGCAAATCATCGTAATGGCAACATCGTCGTAAATTTGCCTCTCAGTCTACTTCTCACAGTTTGTTTGTGGATTCGACGGTTTCCATTAACAATGGTATTTCGTAATGTTTCGGCTGCTGTTAATCTCCTGTCACGCAAATTGGCCAAGCCTAATGAACCGCTCTCGACGTCGCAACGTTACAAGTGAACGTCCGGATCTCGGTCTGTCATCAACTTTTTCCGTGGCGTTGAGACGTAAAACCAACCGACTTATTATAGCTGATTTGTGAACTCTGAAGTGAGTATTGCGAAAGCTCGACCTCTGTCAAGTTTGGATGTCGTGGCATATTTGTGAAAACAATTATTTATTGTAGATGTATTGGTGATCACGTATGTTGGTGATAGTCAGTCATTGACACTATTTTGAATGGTAAAGAACGCATGCATTTAGACCCACCGGAGTTTTTGTCACGGATGAAGGATTTTTAACATTTAATGGAGGATTGGGTAAGGTGCCCTAATATTCCTTTCACTTTTTATACGGAAATGTATATTTAATACAAAATAGCTTATGATCAAGAAAGTTGCATTTCTGTTCAGTATATATATAATGTTAATCGAATACACCATTCAGTGTTTGACATCAAGAACAATATATACTGTCCTATATCTTTTGTTTCAGTTTTTATCAAAACGTAACCAACAGGACGAATCCATTTCCTCTGTTGTGAATTTTATTTTCTAGAATGTAACAGCCCCGTTTTACCTACCAACATGTATCACTAACACTTTTCTAAGATGCAAGATTATGAAGTCTATTGGAAAGTTTTATGATCGCCGTCATGACATCCTAGGAAAATTTCACTGTGAACGTAAAAAGTGTATATGTTGTTAAATGTTAGGTTGATATTGTTGGAAAATTCCGCTGTGATGTTAGAAGTATATGCTGTAATTGTTTGCCTGATGGTTTCAGCGTCATTAACCTAGCCGTCTTTTTAGTGGGAATAGTAAAACTAACCTTCATTTAACGTATGAACTAATTTAAATAGTGGCACGGTTCAGGATATATATTTGTACTTGTATGAAATTATGCGATATATGAAAATAAGAACATCTATTAAATTACTAGGTTAGTGAACCTGTCCATATAGATTTTTTTAGCTTTTTTATCACTTTGGTTTTTCCACAGTCGCCTCCTAGGTTTCCATTTTTTATCGCGAAAAAGAAACAGACATGATGAAAAATGCAATGCCGGGCACAAATTGAAAGTAGAAGCCAGTGAAAATTCATTATAGCTATTTCAGGATTCTGTGATTCCTCACCAATTATCAACTGAGATGTCCCCAAACACCAATCTAAGAGTGATCATAATATGGTATCGATATGGAGTTTTGTTACGCTGAACATAAAATCTCTTATATTTGTAACAATAGATAAATATCACATTATCAATTCCTCGCCATCCTTTAATATTTTGAAGTGCTACCAGTGATTAAAATTTGCCAAAGTTGATGATTATTCCGCTAAATGGTTATATTGATATTATAAGATTCAGAATTATCACTGTGACATGCTCCATTACTTCGGTAGATGTATGAAATAAGATTGTACAATATTTCCTCCACACAGAAATTTTTTGTATTTGTAATGATACAGATGGTTATCATATTACTTTTGGGAGTTAATAGCTCTCCGTCATCAAAAAAGTACATCAATAGTGATATCACACACATGAACATCGGA